CGTTTCGTTTGGGCTGCTTTTCTTTTTTGGTGGGCAACAAAAATATCACACGAGTATAATTGAGTTTGACACAATAAATTGCTCATCGCGGGACAAAAAGCCGCTTCGGCCAATCCCCTCGGCTGGCTGTTGTTGTTATCGCTGACCTTTAAAGCCGCCAGCGCGCTGATTTATAAATTGATTCTGCTTAACTTTGTGGCACAGCGGGAGCGCTCCTTGGGCTACTTGTTCGCCTCTCTGTTCGTGCCCGCAGCAGCGGCAGCACAGCAGCGGCAGCAACAGTTGCTGCAACACACCAGCAATATCGGACATATTCGCTGCAACAGTTGTCCAAGCCAGCCAATCTGCGTTGCCTCTTTTGATTTTGGCACATTAACACATTTTATTGTGAGTTCGGCTTGATTGTGATGCCTAAGCGAATCTTTAATGAGTCCACACAATGAGGGATCAAGGCCAAGAGTTCCGAGAAGAGATCAGCAAAAAGTACACAGTGCAAAAAGTCAATATGCATCTTGTCATTCGATATCGAGCATAACATTTAAAATCTACATAATATGTACCTAAAGTTAGCTTAGAGTGAAATATCCATAGGACATTGAGGTATTAAATACTTAAAATATTTAATATTAGTTTTTTCCTGTGTGATGCGATCTTGAGATCCGCGGAATAGCGACTGGCAACTGACACTGACGACGGCACGAATATTTCAATTAACTGACAATCGCTTGGCCGAAAATGAAGCCCACTGAGCTCACCCCCTCTCGTTGAACCCCCAAGAAATCGGGAAATCAGCGGCAGCTGAGGAACTGTCTTCGAATGTCAGCAAAACTTTAAGAGAGACAACAAACGTGGCAGACGACATCCGCTGGCGAGCGAAATGCGATAAAATGCAAATCTCTCTTGATGCTAAAAGGACACCAGCCAGCAATTGAAACCCAAAAACGATTCCAAAACCATGGATACCGAGATTCCAAGCCGAAAATCCAAATGCAAGCGACAAAACAATGGCAGCAAAAATGGCTTCGCTTGCTGTTGCCGTTGCTGTTGCTGGTGCAGTTGCAATGTTGCTGCTGCAGTTACTGTTGGTGGCACGTCAATGTCACGGCATCGACAGTGGTGCTGGGGGTGGTGGTGGCTTGCCAGAGGCAAGAAGACAGGAGACGGGCTAATCTTCATCAGCCGCCGTTTGTAGTTGGCGCAAAGTGTAAGCTCACACAAATCTCCAGAGAAAGAGGCGCGCAGGAGAAGCGCAGAGTCGCAGAATCGCAGAATCGCTAAATCGGAGAAAGGGTAAGGAAAAGCGGGACGGCGGGAAAACTACACAGACGCGGATGCGGATGAGATGGATGCAGCTTTATCTGCTCAATAGATGGACATTTGGATAGATTGTTCTTGTTTGGCTTTGACGTTAGCCAGCAGCCTGCCACCTACCCCTTTCAAAGGCCCTCTATTCCCCTGATCCGAAGTTGCATTATGAGATTCTATCATCGCCTCGTCGGTGTGTGTCCAAATTGTTTGGCCACAGTAGCAGATGATTCTCCTTTTGTTCTCGCTAGACACAGAGAGAAAATCTGTTACCGAAGATAATTTTAAATAATTTAAAATTTTACCACAAAAGATGAATGTGAGAAATGCAATTTTATTAGATAACCTGACATAGCTTCTTTATTTTCAAAAATTTAACTTTTATCTATTTAATTTTCATTTTCCATTTAAATTTAATATTTTGTACAGTGTAGCCGTCAAAAGCAGCTGAAAAAGAACAACTATTATTATATTTTAATGGCTACCTTTGTTGCAGTATTGGGATTGGATTGGGTTCCTTGAGTCGATGGATAGATGGATGGCGTTATAGTGGCTGGTTGCTCGGCCTGGCGGATGATTCTATTGCCATTATGGCCGCGAATGCGCTTGTTCCATTATGCGGCGTTTGCTTGTCAGTCTCTAATGGATTCTGGATCCTGGACTGGGGATCAGCGAAGAAATACAAGCTTTTCGGCTGAGATTGGGACAGACGGTGGCCTCTTCCTTGGTGGGTTCATGGTTGTTGTTTTTTGGCTTTTCTGTCGGCGCCAGTGCAGTTCTCAAACGTATCGAATTACATTTGGCGTCTGCTTTTTATACTTTTTTTTTGGGCCGTCGGCTCTCCAACCTTTGATGCAGCTCATCCGCGATCTCAGTGATCTCTCATTCAGGGTCTTTCGGTCTCTTGCAGCTCCTCCCACATCAAACGGAAACGGAAATGGCCAGCTGGGAACCTGATTTCATTCGTTCATAAAAGTCTGTTTATTGTGATTGTTCTCTTTGCCGGATCCCTCATCTTGCCCCGATCGTTTCCAATCAAGTCGGCAATTAGCGATGGCCAGCAATTGGCTTCCATTCCCCTCTATCCCTTCTGGCATTTATTTCGTGGCAGCAATTATTTTCGCATTTGTTGGCCACTTGCGAATGCTAATGCCAATGATCCGGGACTGCAATCGTAATCGGAATGGCAATGGGAATGGGAATGGGAATGGGTTTTCAGAATGGAAACGGAGAGGGACGAGCTTATTAGTGCAGCCATTGCCATTGCCATAACTTTGGACAATAAAACGCAGTCGGGCTGGGACTTCAAAGGATTCAAAAGTGTTAAACTGACATGCGAGATGAGAGGCAGAAGCCGGGAAGAAGTTGGAGAAGATGGCAAGGCTGCAGGTCGGGTGATCGTAGAGAGATGAGGATGCGTTTGGGGCGGTTGCATGCTCTGAAAGCCATAATTCTGCACTTGAAAAATAAGAAGTTGGAATTCGAAAGTGCAAAATACAATAAACACCAATTTTAGCTGGTTTGTATCTGAAAGTTTTTAAGATATTTAAAAATAAGATAAGATTTTTCATAGTGTGTTGCATGGCCAGTCGCTGAATTTAACACCGATGATGGACCTTAAGTCCAGCGGATTGGATTGGGGATGGCGACTTGGGCAGTGCCCGGCCAGTCAGTTTAGCGTCACCCCTTCGCTCGACGCCCCTGCCCTGCCAAAACTGACACTTGCAATGAAGACATTAGCCGCTAATGGAATTGTTATTAAGCCGCAGAAGCGCGCCTCTGGAAGAAATCTGCAAACGGAAAAGGAGGAGAATCCGCAGATCTGAAGAAAGGCACCTCTTGATGGTCCGTGTGGATGCGTTTCTTCTGATTCTTTGCTGTCGCTGCTGCAGCTTTAATTTGCTCATCAGTGCTGCCATTCGAGTTGGAATAAAATTATTATTGTATTTCATTTTGAATTTTCGTATGAGGGATTAGATCATCCACCCCTTTTCACCGTACAGTAATCACTTTATTGTGAGCTTGATGTATTGACAAATTATAAAAACATAAGGCGTTCAAGGGAAGGGGAGAAACTGGGGAGATCTGTAACTGAATTGAGCCTTAACACGCATTCCGCAAATCACTTATTTTGCAATCAGAGGAGAATCCAGTATTGCTGGCAAAGCTAGCACCACCTGGTGGTGCCCTCTGAAAGTGGGCAGGGCTGTGGTCTGTGGACTTTGGTGGCGGAGCTGTCGAAGTCCCGATTTGACAGGCCAAGTGAAAAATGCCTGGTCCTAGAACAATGCCAAGGTTCGATCTACGTGCGCATACTTGGCAAGCCACTTAAATGGCTTTAAAAATAAACCAAGCCAGGGCCGCTTCTTAACTCAACTCACACGGAGAACAAAACTTATATTTATTATAATTCCTTTATATAAGTAGGTTCGATAATGGTTTTACGTAAAAACTTACTATTGATTAATGAAAAAGAAGGACTAACACTCAAATTTATAATCTTTTTTAAGATCTGTTTTTGCCTTACCCCTTTTTGGGCAGTGCATTCAGGATACATGGGCTTAGCTTGAGCTTTTTGCCTTTTCCGGATGAGGCCCATAACAAATTAAGGCTTTTCACTTTCCATCCTTGTTGTTGTCTGGTGTGTACACACCCCAAAAAATGCGTAGCCCAAATGAATACCTAGGCAGTTCCAACAACCCATAATCATAATCATCATCATCATCGTCGTCGCATTTCTGGCTGTTCCTTAGCCTCCATTCTTGGCGGATCCACATCCAGGTGGCTTCGTCGTTATTTGTATTCGCTGTAATATGAATTGACTGCTACTAATAATAACCACGAGCGTTTAGATGCCCTCCTTCCGACTAAGGATAGCGCTGAACTTGCGTTCCTGCAAAATGTGACCGAAAAGGAATGAAACTAAGATTTGTTTTGCGTCGAAGATCTAAATACCCTTTATTTTTATTACAATAAATACTTTTGAAAGCGATTTTAATTTGTTCTTCATGACATCTGACAAAGAATTACAATAGCTTAGCAAAGAAACAAATAGTTAAACTGGTTCAAAATTTCTTACCAAAACCGATACTCTCCTTTTCTCAAAAAAGGTAAGAAAAATGAAAAACAAATTTCAGCAGTTTCAGCTCAGCATTGTTGATCTGCTGCCATTGATACGAGCGCGAGTCGAAGACTGGCAAATGGAAATAACTCACTGGACTCCGGACTCGAGCCCCGAGACTGGGACTCAGAGTGAAGCTGCGACTTGGGCTGGGACGTGAAACTTGGGACTGGGGCGAATAATGATAATGATGGCAGGCAAGGGCGCTCGGCGGGCTGGAGAGTGATGATCCACGCGGAGGTGTGGTGCAGGCCAGAAATCAGCAACAAATAAATGAGTTCATGCAACGACTTTGAAATGAAGACAAAGTGGATGTCGGTTCTTGGTTGGTGTGGTTGCTGTGGCCTCTGATTCTCAGATGAAGCTGGGGGATGTCTGCAGAGTGTCTAGATGAACGAGCAAGTGGCCACATCCTATCGGATTCAGGAGTCCAAATCTACAATTCGCCAGTGAATGTGTAATTTAATGGAGTACTAAAGATTCTCCCGTACCATGTGACCCAAAGTTCCTCACCTTTCTTTCGAAATCAAATTAATAAAAAACGCGAAAACATTTTAAATTTTTCATTTTCATTTATTGTACTTTTAAATATTTATTCTCTTGCTTTCGTTTAGCTATTACAATATACGGGCTTAGCGGCTAGAGGATCCTTAGAATGGTGAACATTTTTACAGCTTTTTGCTAGAACGTAGAAATTACACAAGTAGCATCACACACAAGTGAACATACACTAGGACCTACGCTAGGCATGTACAGCTATATAATAACTAGTAACTAGGCTATATACTTAAACAGATTCGATTCCTACTCGGATTGCTCCTTCGTTCTTACTCGTTGGTATGTTCCCATTTTATTTCGGTTTTATACAAGGGACTCTTTTCCTCCTCCCCGATGATTACTAAAACGACTTTTTACAATTCTCCCCTCACGTCGTGGAATGGATTGGGATGGAAATGTGAATCGCAGCCTGATCGGATCCCCCTTAAAACAGGGATTGCCGGCTGCTTAAGTGCACTTGGTTTGCTCCCATAAAACTAGTTTAGGATTAGTCCTACGCTACAGCTACAGTTACAGATGCTTATATGAGATACTTAAGCTATGGATACAGATACGGATTGGGGTGAATTCGGTTCCAGATGGGATGCTAGTCTAGGCTCTAAATGCTTACAACTTATGGCTGTTCCGGCTCCTGCTGCTCCTCGCTTTTTGGCTTTCTGTGCAAGCAAGTGAGTTTCAGAGAGTCTTTGTTGGCTTTGTTGTCGTTGCTGCGATTGCAATGCGTTCTGCCCCAAGGAATCGGGCTAAAGTTACTTCGTTTAAGCCAAATTAGAATACTTGTTACTGCCCGTCTAACTGGGTACTGGTAACTTGGTTCAGTGGGACATCTGTGCACGGCAATCTTAACTTAAATGTAAATTATGTAATATGTACAGCAATTGTAGATGGTGTGGGTGTATCATCGATGTGTGTGCATGTGATTGGTGCATGAGTAAGTGGGGTTGTGCAAGTAATACTATATGCAAGTTCAGCTCCGAGTCTCGCTTACATCCGCGTTCCCACATTGCCCCTCTGACTGGGCTGAGGGGCGTGGCCGTGACGTGGCAACGACACGTGAGGCAGGTGCGTGGGTGGCCCCGCCCCCAGAGGCGAAATGGATGGTGATCTCGTCGCCAAGGGCGATAGAGAGGGTGAGAACGACGGTGACATCGCTGATGAGGTGCTGAAGCTGCCACTCGCCTCGTGGCCAATGGGTGATCGAGGCAAGTGAGCGGGAGCCAGGCTCAAATGGGGTGGCAGCCTCATCGGTAAGTTTATGGCCCTTGGAGCTACGTTGGTGAGGAGGGGAGGTGGTATGTGGGTGGGCGGTGCCGAGGGAGGCGGTTTGAGCACCACACTTCCAGCACCCGCTGAGGAATGAGAGGAGTGCTTGCTCTTGGCGGATGAGGAGGCACCACTCCCACTGTGTCCACTGTGCTCCGATATGGTGTCGTCTTTCAGTCTCGCTATTTCGGAAAACACGTGCGCCAGTGGCTGGTATTGCGGTCCCCAGTCGAGGAGATAGTCCCAGTTGTAGCTGCCCGTCAATTCCTCCTCGCTGTGAACTATGGAACTAAGGGAGCCACCAACGTTACTGCCGCCAACCACAACGGGCACTGGGACAGGAACCTCTCCATAGCTTCCCATCACACCATGGCCATGGGTGATGGCAGTTCCGATGGTTCCAATGGACCCCGCAGTGGTTCCCGCGTCATCTGCACTGCTTCCTCGGTCAGAACCGGCTCCTGTCACATCATTGAGTTTGGCGTATATGAGGTTTGTTATATCCGATCGTGCGGTGGCATCCTCATCGTGGAACATATGCATCGGGTGACTGGAACCAGCCATGCTCGATGCCCCACCGCCGGCACCACTTGGATCGTGGTCAACGATACCCAGGCGAGCCAAGTACTCCTGGGTATTTTGAACAGAAATATCAGAGATTCTGCCATCGTCACTGCCTACGCCACCTCCTCCGTTGCGGTGATGAAGTGGTCCTTCGTTGATCATACGGATCTCCTCATCCTCACCATCATCCTCCGCCGATCCTCGACCACTGGAGCCGGACTGTTCCGAGCCAGACAATTCGGATGTCGTGGCTGCCCCCGAACTGCCAGCATGCGGACCAAATGGAGGAATCTCATCGTATTTTGGAGGAGCAAATTGACCAGAGGCACCTCCCGCCGCACCTCCAGTAATGCTTCCCCTTATTGGGATCGTGTCGAAGGCACTGGGATCCACGTAGCTGTTGGAATTTCCCACTCCCGCAGCATCTGTGCTGAGGTGTGGCTTGACCACATTCCTGGGCTTCCGGCTTCTCATGTGGATGAACAAAAAGATTCCGGCAGCAGCGCAAAGGATTAGGAGAAAAGCTACCAGTAGACCAATGGCCCAATCGCCGAGAGACCCGCTTGACGATCCACCAGCACTAGCCAGATTTGTGCCTGGATGAGCCAATGGATCCAAGGCAATCTCAACGACAGCCATGCTGGACAAAGAGTTATGACGTCCCGAGGAAGCTGATATAACCAGGCTGATATCCCGGCCATCCATGTACAGATTGCCATCTCCGTCGCCATCCAGTTTGAGTTTCCTCTTGATAAGAACGGCACCACTGCTGCGGTTGACCTTGAAGTGCGAGTGTGGAGCACTCAGTTGGTAAACCACTCTGCCATCTGGACCTCTATCACCGTCAGTGGCTGTCACTTGACCAACCACGAAACCTTGAGGAAGGGCCACCGCTGCCGGCAACACAAATTTGTAGGTGCGCTCAGTGAACTGAGGGGTAAACTCATCCCTGGACTCGATCTCGACTCGAACAGTCACTCTGGCCTTCTTGCCGCCCATATCGGAGGCCTGGAGCTCCAGTTCATAACGCTGCCTTTGCTCATAGTCGAAGACGAATTCGGATGTAACTAGACCACTTTCCGGATCCACTCTGAACATTTTCCAGGAACTTTCGTCGCTGCGAGCGGGAGCAATGCTATAGTTGAGTTGGCCAAAGGGTCCCTTATCTAGATCACTGGCATGAGCACGGAATACGGAACTGCCGACGGGCTCATTTTCAGCCAGAAAGTGTACATATTCAGAGAGCGGGAACTTGGGCTCGTTGTCGTTCTCATCGTGGAGTTCCAGTCTGAAGGGTTGCAGGCTGCAAAGTGGTCTTGGATGATGGCTATCGCAGGCTCGGATAATAAGCTCATAGCTCTTGGCCCCGGAATCGTAATCCAATTTGTTGTTCACAAAAAGCACACCAGTGACGAGATCTATCGTGAACATGTGCTCATCATTGCCAGAGGTAATGTCGTACACCACTTCTGAGTTCGGAGTGTTCTCCTGGTCCGCATCGATAGCTTGTAATTGAGCAATGGAGTACCTAAGAGGAGCCAGCTCGCTGATCTCAGCCTCATATTTGGCACTTCGGTCGAAAATGGGGAAGTTATCGTTGGCATCCAAAATGGTTATGATCACTGAGATTCCAGCAGAAGAATTTGTTCCAGCCGAAAGGGCAGACCCATGGGGATGGCTCAAAATCAAACGAAGTTTGTAAAGGTCATTGCGTTCTCTATCCAGGGGCTTGACCAAGACAATGGCCTTGGATTGTAACAACTCAAAAGTAGATTCTTCATTTCCAGCGATGATGACAAAGGATTGATCGAGAACATCTTGTCCCAGTTGAAGGACAACGGAACCCAATGGTGCTGCCTCGCTGATTTGGGCCCTATATTGGTTCTGCTGAAACTGTGAACGTCCTGACCCACTGTCACTAGCTTGAACTCTTAGTAGAGTTGAACTTTTCATAGCTGGTATACCTGCATCCTTTGCCAAAATTCTGACAAAGTGATCCCCGCTTGGCGACTGCGAAGGCTGCAACCTGCTCATATTAACAGACACAACTCCACTGGACGGGTGAACCGAAAAGCCTTCCACGCCTGGTTCAATAAGGTAAGTAACCTTTGAGTTACTGCCCTCTGAGTCCGCATCAGAGGCGTTCACTGTCAAAAGCTCCAGATCCATAGAAAGACTCTCGCTGATCTCTGTTAGAGCTGGCAGAATGGCAAAGTAGGCCGGAGGCTCCAGGGCCAGGAATTTTGGGGCATTATCGTTTTCATCGTTCACCCGGACAGTTAGGGTGGTGCGGGCTTCATGGGCTGCATCGGAAGCAATCACCTCTAGCTGATACTCCTGTTGGAGTTCATAGTCCAAACGACGTTTCAGGACCAGCTTTCCACTGTATCGATCCAAAGCAAAGATGGACATGTTTTCTGTTTCTAATGTGGAATCGCTACCAAGACGGTAGGTCAGAGCAGGATTAGTGTCCACATCGTTGGCTGAAATGGAGGTTATTACGGCTCCGAGTTCAGTGGCTAAAAAGAAAAGTAATTAAGAAGGAAAATAATATTAAACGGGGAAGATAAAAGGAGAGAGTTGGATAAGGAAAGGAATTTCATTTAATGGAAAATCACGGAAAATATTTGGAAAATTTGAAGCATCACTTACCTTCACTGACAGTGACGAGATTGTTTGGCGGGAAAGTGGGCTGGTTATCATTCACGTCTACGATTTGCACTCTTATGGTGGCAGTTCCCGTCATCTGGGGCACTCCCTCATCTGTGGCGATGATCTTAAGTTTGTAGACATCGCGAATCTCCCGATCCAGCACAATATTGGTCTTCACTATGCCACTGAAAGCGGGTTCGATCACAAACGCATTGTCGTGGTTGCCATCTACGATATGGTATCGCATCCGACCATTGGCACCCGCATCCGAATCGAAGGCCTGAACTTGGGCCACGAAGGTTCCCTTGCTGTTACCCTCTGAAACGGTGGCCACAAATTGCTTTTGCGAAAACTTTGGGCTGTTGTCGTTCTCGTCCTCCAGCTCGATCACTAATTCGGAGTAAGTGGCTAGGAAGGGAGCATCTGTACTGCGAGCAACTAGGACTACGTGAATCTCATTGGGCTGGCTGTTGGTCAGGGCAAAGGAGGAGGATCTCAAGGCCCTTTGGGATCGGGTGGTATTATTTTGATCCTCCTCTGATAGTTCCTCCATTTCATCCGTATAATGCAAGGCTCTGCCACGATTTAGAGCCGACATCGAGGGCGTTGCGAACCGATCGAAGTCAAGTAGATGGGGCTTATTTACTCTTATGTCGCCTGAGAGGGAATCCATGGACAATACACCGTCCTCATTACCAGCGCCAAAAGAGAACTGCACCTTTTGCCGACGTCCATCGCTGCGGAGGGCCACGACTTGAAGGAGTTTTGTTCCCGAGGGGGAATTCTCCTTGATCTTGACTCTATAGGTTTCATTTTGGAAACGAAGAACCGGCGAGCCTTGTGGGGCTTCCCCTATTAGCAGTTCGATAAGACCCAGGCTGGACTGCGGTGGATTCCCCTTATCCTTGGCGATAACTTCCAACTGCAACAGCTTTCCAGACTCACTGGCCAAGCTTTGTGAGGCACTCAAGGCTCCAGAGTTCGGATTTATCCGGAACTTTCCACTAACAGCTGAATTTTCTGCCTTGAGAGAGTAAATAACCTCTCCATTTGCCCCCAAATCGGCATCGAAGGCTTGAACCTTCAGCAAAGTTTGGCCAGGTTGAATGAGAGCTGGAACCTGTCCTATGTAGGGATATCGCTCGAATACGGGTCTGTTGTCATTAACATCCAGCACGTTGATCTGCACCGGAACCGAAGTCGATTTCACTTCATAACGTCCTCCGTCCGTGGCTAATACCATGAAGCTGTAGCTCGCCTGCAGCTCGCGATCCAGTTTTCTGTTGGGAAAGAGGAGAGAGGCAAAGGGGAAACGATTCAATTAATGGCCTGAACACGATCAGTCGGCGATGGGCGCCGCTTGCGACACTAATTAGGTATCTCTGGGAGCCTCTGCTCTCTTACATATTATGTATAATCGTAATCCCACCGACAATTAGCCACACGAAATGATTCGCAATGGATCTAGGCAGGAAGAAAGAAATCTGACAAGGTGGCTTGCACTGTTAAAAAAAACTACTATGACGTGGAAATTCTGATGCAGCTTTGCTCCGGTTTCTTTGCTAATGGCTAACTAATTTTATTATTAAATTCGTAATTTTATAATCTCATTTTTAGCCCTATTTCCCCCAGTGCATGGGGTTAGGGGCTGAGTGGTAATTAAGTCATTTGTTTGAAGTCTTCCCACTGGAGATGCACACTCACATTAGCATTCGCCTGGCTTGTGCTGCGGCCTCAGTTGACTCGTCTTCTTGGGCAGAAAACTAATCCCGGCAGTCGGGACGGCCTATCGCTATCACGAGGCTCCAGCTCCCCTGGAACATGTTTGCTGCCACAAATAATAAACCTAAATGATTACAATCCTTCGCAGTTGCAGCCACAGTCGCTGCAGTCGGTAGGCAGTCGCCGCCATTCCATTCCGCGCTTGCATGTTGGCCAATAAAACGAATTTAGCAAATTACAAGCTCATCCCGGCAGAGGGCCATTTTATGAATTGAATCAGTCAAACCGAAGCAGAGGAACAGCGAGTTGGCTTGTCCAGATCTCAGAGCTCTGAGCTCCTCGGTTCTACCGCTCACCACCTCCCCTTTTTTGGCCTGAATGTGAAACAACAGCAGAAATGCTTTCAAGGGTCAGTCATCAGTCGAGGTTGTTGTTTCTTTTGTTGATCATCAGGCGCGGACTTGGGGTTTGTGGCTGGTCAAGGAGGGGTCGAGGAAGGGGTAGAAAATGAGGGACAGGCGACGGCGAACAAGCCATGTCGGGGATTGGGCCTAGACTGATCTCTCACTGAGAAAAATTTGGGTAAGAAGAATATAGTGGTCGAAGAATTTTACTCTAACTGTTAACTCGAAGTGAAAGGGTGAGGAGATAGCTATTTCTCATCGCCATTAGCGATATCGTTGAATATTTTCCTATAACTTTAAACTTAGAGGTATCTTACTTAAAAAATCAGTGATCAACAAATGCACGATTGATTTTTAATGGGAAAGAGTAATTTATTTTCGCCTCTTATTAGTTTTCATTATTTTGCGGAGTGCAGTGGTTAGCCCTAAGCTCTTGACTCTGCTCGCTTGTCCATCGCCAGTCAGTCAGCTAAGGCTGGAAAAAAATGAAAACTAGCAACATTGGCCCAAACAAGCGGCAGGCGCATTTTTGTCTCCTCCCTGTTTGGCTTCCCCGCGACCCGTGTATACCGCAAAGCCAGGCTTAAGTTCAAGTCCAAGAGCAAATCCAAGACTGAGTTGCAATCCAGGGACCAAGTCGCCAGCCCCAATACCGATTGCAAGTCCAAGTGCAAGCCAAGACTAACAACAACGTCACGAATTGTCTCTCGGTCCGTCCGACTGTCTGCTCTACAATTCTGCTCTGTGCGCTATTACCTCTCCATGTGGAGCTGCAGATCTTTATTCTCGACTCCGGTCTTTTATTTCTGTGCTTTTCGGCGGTGGCGGGGATTTCGTTTTTATTGTTTGCCGACAATCAGCGAAAGATAAAAATTGGTACATGACAGCGGATCGCGTTTGTATAAATGGCAACACTGACGCTACTGTCATTTCGAGTGCCCCTGCTCGGGAACTCCCTTCTCTCATCCAGCCCCTCGGATTCTTTAAACTCCGCGATCTCCTTTGGCCGGAACTGAGCAAGAGCTATGTCAGACGGAACAAGCAATTGTTGTCATCATTGATTGTCAATAAGCATAAATTTGCACCAGAGGGGGCCCAAGGAGGCCACAACAAAAGTGCACAGGAAAAAAATCTTTAAAACTATTTTAGACATCAGAACTCCCTTGAGATATAATATAATTAACTTCCCACTGGCTTTTGTTGTTGTTTAAAAAAGAATAGCTGAAAAGTAAAAGTCATATTCTTGTCGAGGTAGAAACGGTTTTCCAATATTTGAAGAAACTTTTCCCTGTGCAAAGACGAAGATCGAAGAACACACATGAGGAAGGGACTCATTGAGGATTCACATTGGACTCCATTTCAAGTTACAGCTCCACCTTAAGCTATTTTTAGGAATATCTGTAGGAGGAGCTGGGGGCAAAAAGTGTCCAAAAGGAGTATAGGAGGAGCGGCGATGACAGGAGACGGATCGGCAACATTGTCGCTGGATGCGTAGGATGCTGATATATCTCGGATACATCGATTTCCATGCCACATTAGTTGAGGAAATTATGGCAATGGTTCTTTGTCGCGTCCTTGGTGGAGATCGTACTCCGAGATAAGATCAAGCCAAGCAATGACCCACAGATTCGATACCCAGGTGATCCCCTAAGTACAACCAACTGAAACTTACCCGACGGTGGTGATTAATCCGCTCTGGCTGTCGATGGCAAACTGCCATTGGCTTTCGTTGGTCAGGGAATAAACGAGTCTGGCGTTGACGCCCAAATCCGCATCCACAGCATTAATCTGCACCACACTTGCGCCGAGGGGTGCGTCCTCCTGCACGCTGGCAATGTATTTGCTTAGCTTAAATCGTGGGGCATTATCATTCTGATCCTCGACGAAGACAGTGATGTTACAGTGTCCCTGTCGACTCTTCGGTTGCCCCCGGTCAGATGCCTGGATCTGCAGGACGTACTTAGACTGCTGCTCTCTATCCAAGGGCCGGACACTCAGCTCTCCAGAGCAGGCATCGATGCTGAATTTGTTGCCTGAATTGCCGCCTGTAAGGGAGAGAGGGAAATGATAACGGACTCATATTAAAGCAGATGAAGTATATTTTTATATAATTTTATAATGAAGGTGTAGTGCCTTAAGAGAACAACTTGTTTTATTAAAAAGGAAATGTTTCCGAACTAATAAGATTAACGAAAGATTTCTTCTTACCCGTAATGCTGTAAATGAGATCCGCATTTGGGCCCTCATCCAGATCGCTGGCCACCACCGTGTGGATAACACCTGGATCACTGTTTTCCGGAACAGAAAGACCGTAACACGATCCCGGCCGAAATTCCGGGGAGTTGTCATTGACATCTCCTATCGTTATGTACACAGTGGCCACATCGAAGTGCTGACCATTCGATGCCTCTCCATTGCTGTCCGAGGAGCGTTGCTTCCTTACCGCAGAAGGGGACGACGTGGCCAGGCGATTGGCATCTCGTACATAGATGGGCAGAACGTAACTGGCCTGTGCCTCCCTATCGAATTGGCCCCGGGATGTGATGATTCCCCTTTGAGGGTCCACGTAAAACAGATCATTGGCCACGCCAGCAGGAATTTCGTAGCTGAGATTGGCTGTAAAATAGTGTAAGAAAATTATTATTTAGAATTGGAAAATATATGTAGTAGTTTTAAAAGATCATTTAAATTTCTGCAATCTGTCATAAATAGTTCGTTAAAATGTGAAAGTCTTACCGTTTTCTGCACCGTGAAGTGACTTTGCAGTGACTTGCAGGACGAAACTTCCACTGGGAACATTCTCCAAAATACTTGCTCGATAAACCGCCTGAAGGAATCGAGGTGGGTTATTGTGACTGCCTTGGACTATGAGCTGAAGATTTAGAGAGCTTTTCTTGGATTCAGGTTTGCCGTGATCTTTGGCACTGATAACAAGGTTGAACCGTCCACTTTTCTCCACGTCCTCTGCGGCCGGTGGGAGAGACTTAATCAGCTCGATGATCCCAGTTTGGGAATTGATTCTGAAGCGGCCCTCGCCATTGCCACCTGTGATTTCGTAGGCGAGGCGTCCGTTCTCGCCAGAGTCCTCATCCACAGCCACGACGTGCGCCACAATCTCGCCAATTCTGGTTGCATCGCTTATGAAAAGAGAAGCCGTTTTGCCACCGTTTGTATTTGGGGAAACAAACTGCGGGGCATTATCGTTGGCATCTTGAATTCGTAATCTCACAGTGACCGAGGTTTGCAGCCGTTCTGTGACATTTGAAGATTGATCCAAGGCTTGGACAATGAGCATGTACTCCTGCACGGCTTCGAAGTCCAAGGGTGCCTGAAGACTGAGGGAACCTGTCAGAGAATCCATGCCAAAAAGAGGCATTGCCTGCTCTTGGCTTTCGTTCAGTTGTGGGAAATATCGCAGCAGGCGATATTGGAGCTCCCCATTGGTACCCGTGTCCGCATCCGTGGCCGTAAAGTTGTGGATTATTGTGCCAATGGGAGTGGCCTCGTTCACCTGTGGAAGGCATAGAAGAAAAAATAAAATGCAATAATTAAAACCTGCGGTATTAAGTTTTATGATCAGTGATTAAAATCGGCAGTCTCAATCTGCTTCGAGATCAAACTTTCTATTCTAAGTTTGTAGCTCCATTACAAAGTTCTTCGCTATATATTAGCGATATAAACAGTTAGCTGTAATTACCTGAAGATCCACAGGATCCTGGGGCCATTCGGGGGCATTATCATTGACATCGGCCACTTCTATTTTCACTGTGATGGCGCTGCTCTGCGGGTTATTACTGGCGGTGGTGTCCAGAGCCCGAATTTCCAATCTGAATTCAGACTGAACCTCTCTGTCCAAGAGACGAGCCACGACGAGATTTCCTGAATGAATGTCGATGTCGAAGGCGGACTCAATTAGATCCTTGGTCAGGGGATTCAGAGTGTAGGTGACGCGGAGATCCTCGAAGGACTCCTCCACACTATTTCTGATCACATCCGACGGACGCTCACTGGGGCTGATGGAGCCGACCACATGGCCAACGACGGCATCCTCGCGTACCTGCGCAAATACCAATTATAGATTACTTTCTTGGCTTATTAAGAGGAATATGGGAGGGGCGGTCGAAAAGAGGAGGATGCTGACTTCTTGGGTCGCTCTACTTGGACCTGGGTGTTGTTCGACGCGTATCTTAATCTCAACAACAGTGTTGAAAATCCAATCTTAAAGCAATAATTCATACTTCAAGATTACGAAGGCAGCAAACATTTAAAAATTTCATTCCCCCTTCCCAAAGAAGAGAGGCGCAGAGCAGAGGAACCAGAATCTGGAGAGGAAGCCTGTCCAGTCTCTGGTCCCAGGTCTCGAGTCGCCGACCAATGGCATTAAAAAGAAATTATGCATTCCGACCAAGTTGTCGGCCCCGAAAATCACTGCAGAAAAATGTTCTTAGCCATATGAGCAGCGGGTTTGGGGGGTTTGGAAGAGGGGAGGAAGAATCTCCGAAGACCGAAGAAACTCCGCACAAGAATTTAATATGCAAAACCGCAAAAACCGTTCCAAAGGGTCCCACCGACCGTCAAAAACAAAAACAAAAAAAAACGGAACGAAACAAAAAAGGTTCTCTCCGGCAGAGGGTATCTCTTTTCATAAAATAAAAACATTGCAAATATTGTTTGGGTCGCCAAAATGGAGACACAAAAATGACAGTCACGAGATTTATGCCCCGCCAAGATTACGCAGTTGGCTGCCTGAAAGGGGTGGGACTGAGGGGGCCGTCAGAAGCAGTACACTCAGAAAAACAAACTTCGACTCCCTTCTCTTCTCTGGGAAGAGCACATTATTATAAGTAGAAAGAATTGAATTAATAATAATAAGTCAAAGGCATTAAAATGTTTATTTTAACTTAAACCGAATATTATATAATATATTTTTAGTAAAGTTTATCGTTTTTCAAGTGGAGGGTCAACTAACGACTACTGGAGGCTGTGGTTTTTTCATTTCGACTTTGGCCAAATTATTCACAGAGCCCAGCCGCAAAAATGGCGAATGATTTGTTCTGGACTTTTATGGCAGGGCCTACCAGGAACGACGAAAAAAGGGAATAAAAGCCCCGGGGGTTGAAGGAAAGGACCCTGCTGGTGGGGGAATTGCTTAATTACATCGGATTTATTTGCGGCAATCCGTCGCTGAGTAATTGGCATCAGCCGACGACGATGACTGCGACTTTACGGCGGAGTGCATCGCTGTTAGTTCAACGCCAACGCAAAAGAACAAAAGCCGAAAGGAAAACGCGGCGCGGTATCAAAGCGATGGCAAAAGGCCGACCGAAATGCAACGAAATGTGTCAATTTTAATTGTGGCCGAAACGGATTTAAGGGACGCACAAGGTCCCGACCTGAGATCCACCAGTTTTGTTCTGGGTAAGGAATACCCCTCCTCCTTGACAGACTGCCTTGCGCTGCGAGAGGCAATTAAATGCATGTCAAAGCGTCGCAGCCATCAGCGGCTGAAGCCAGGTTTCAGTCCGAATCCGAGGAAAACCTGGGATCCGGGGAGGCCGGAGAACCAGGTACTTGGGAGTGGAGAGTATGCAAAACATGTGCGAATCGAACGTGATAAAAATGTTAAAGGGTTCCCAAGCCAAGCCAAGGAAGGGAAAAGGAGCAGAGCGGCATGCCGAAATCTAAGCAGGCGAGTTCCTCGAGGCACGAGGCGGCTCCTCCATCCTCCTGTTCTCTGATCTCTCAACTGACGTCGCGAATCGCACTTAATAGGCCTGCTCGAGATCTCCCCTTCTGGGGGAGGAGGCTGAGAAGGGAAGGCGACGTGTCACAGAGCGTAGTGACAATTACGCGTGCGCAATGAAAACGCCGACAATGGAGGAGGATGAAGATACAGTACACTGCCAAAAACGAAAGTGTAAATGTAGTCTCGTGCACTTCTTCGGTATTTCTTCTGGATTTGGATCTGGTTAAGAACTCTGGATCTGTTGGTTAAGAACTCTTAGTTTTAAGCACTTTTCGACAGTTAGTTACCAAGAAGTTCCTGTTTGCTCAGTGTATGTTGGGGTCTTAGGGCCTTAAATGCAAAACGCGATACTTCCCACGTCTGAGGCACTCTGTGACATCTGCTTCCGAGCTCTTTAAAGGGGCGGCATCAGCAGGCGGAGGTGACCAGGAAGGGATTCGGTCGGGCAGAGTCGTGTTCTCGGCCATTGTCACGTTAGGCTATGGCTGCGACTACAAATCATCCGTCGCAACAAAGGCGGCAAGGCAAAGGCTCTTGGCTAAAAGCCAGAAAACTGGAAAAGGCGACAAACGCGCTGCTCACGATCGCAGGGAAAACGGTCGTGTAAAACTAGAAGCGTCAAATAGACAAAAGTTTTCCAGGAAACCAACTTTGTGGCCCCATCTTCATTCCATCCCATCCCATCCCGAAGTGACCCTCGCATAAATCTCGCACTCACCCTGAAGACCAGGCTGGAGCTGGTGAATGTTGGGCGGTTGTCGTTCAGGTCCAAGACCTCGACGCGCAGCATCCGCACCGTTTCCCTTGGAGGACTTCCGCCATCGGAGGCAGCCACTCCCAGCCGATAGATGCTCCTCTCCTCGTGATCCAAGACTACCCGGGTTCGAATCACTCCGCTACTGGGATCGATGCTAAACAGTCCGTGGCCATCGGAGTCCCGACCCTTCACAATAGAATAGGTGATGGAGGCATTCTGCCCGTGGTCCCGATCGATGGCTCGAATCCGCACCACTTCAGTTCCCGGTGGTTGTTCTTCTCTCACGCTGACCACATCCTCTTGCGGATCGGCGATTTCGGGGGCATTATCGTTCACATCGCTAACGTGGACGCGCACTGGAACGCGGGCGCTTCTTACCGGGGTTCCCTGATCACGGGCCTCCACTACTAGGTCGTAGAGCTCGCGGAGCTCTCGGTCAAGGGGTTCACGGGTGGATATTTCACCTTAAAAAGAAAATTAAATGATGAAATATTTATGGGTTTGCAGTTATTTAGATTTTAGTAATGTTTTCTTAAATTTTACACCTTATCCTCTTTTTTAGTTTCCAAATAGTTTTATTCTGGTTTTAGGGTTTTGTAATCTTACTCCCAATACTATCATTTTCATAAACTATTTTGTACAGAGGACTACTTTTGCCACATAATGGCCAACAGAGGGGACTGGGTTCATTGTTGCCGCCTAACTGGGTCGTCGATGATTAATGCCCCCGAAAGAAATTCATGTCATGAGAGTGCGAGCGGAGCGGAACCTGTTTGCCAGGATTAGCTGCACGAGATTTCCATATTTAATTTAAATGAGACGAGACGGAGAGGTGTCCCCTCCAAGAATACGAGTACCGCTCGCCTCCAGCGGACACGCACATGGATGCGAGGCGAACTTGGACACGGACAGTGGCTGGATGTCAGGCCAATGATATTCCATTGACGGATGAGCTGACAGCGTTAAAACTGTTGTTGCCCGAACACTAATGGTCAGGCATCGGCATCGGCATCGGCATCGGCATCGGGCACAGAGTTTGAGACCCAGTCGAGATCTCGGGTATCTCGGCGATCGCATTTTATCGCTTGGCAGGAACAGGTTTGCCATGCGCTTGATCTATGGGCCAGTGGCAAAGAAGGGGATGCACCGGCACAAACTTCCCCGGAATAGCTTTCACATTATTTTAAACCTTTAAATTTCTTATTCTTACATAATTCTTAAATTGAAGTGTTATAAAAGAGTGGTTTTAGGAACACACTGGTCTATTGCTATAATGACTTTGGGTAAATATAAATCGCTATGAAAGAAAGTAGTCTTAGAACTTTAGTTTTTCACTGTGTAAGCAATGTAAGCTGGATCTCCTTTGAAGCTTTGAGGAGCAGTAATGAATGACCGTGGGTCATGGCTGGTGGCTTGACAGTTGCCACCGCCACCGGAGCCGCGTTGAGTGAGTTGTTCGCTGTTAGAGTGGCCTTAATTTATGGCCAAAAGGAAGCTTGACTCACCTGTGACGGGATGCACCTGGAAGCTGGAGTTTGCCGGCAGCAGGCTGTATCTTATGGCTGCATTCTCACCCAAGTCCAGATCACTGGCAGTCACCACTCCCACAACGGAGCCTCTCCTCAGATTCTCCTCTATGACGAACTCGTATTTTGATTTCCTGAACTTGGGATCATTGTCGTTGGCGTCGAGGACTCGAACTATGACTCGCGTCTTGGCATGAGCAGCAGGAGTGCCGTTGTCAGTGGCCAAAACCGTCAGTTGATACCGATCCCTGGACTCCCGATCCAAAGGAGCCCTTAGGTATATCCATCCCGAGTTGGGGAATATGCCAAAATGCTGGGCCACGTCCGAGCTGCTAATGGAGCTCGTGACATTGTCCACTCCGGCATCCACAATCCTATAAGTGATCCTGGCATTGTTTCCCGTGTCCAGATCGCTGGCATTAACCTGAATAATCTGTAATAGAGAAGCAGAGAGCCAAAAACAAAAGTTAGAGCACGGAATACCAAACGGGGAATGCATCAATCATTTGGGACCAAGCACAACGAGAATCAGGCGGTGTTTGTGTATCTGGCAAACCTCTGGAGAACTCGTTTCCGATGGCAAAGATATGAAGTGATTTTATGATCAAAACTAGTTCAGGCCAAAGAACCGAACCGAACCGAACGAGCTGAAGAGCTGACGAGCTGAAGGGAGCACAGGAGTGGAATCAGTGGAGTGGCTGCCACTTGGGAGCCAAAGACTTTGCCCAATATCTTCAGTCGGTAGGAGCTCCTCCTGGGTGTTGAGATATTTTCAACGCGATATGACGGCCGCCTGACAAAAGCGTGACTTTTAGAGGCTGTTAATCAAATTTATGTGGCCCATTTAGCTTGCATTACACAGATTTATTTTTCAATAAAACATCCTTAGCAGAAGCCATTTCAATGGAAATGAATCCTGGCCAACAGAAGAAGAACTTTCGCAACACTATTTAACGAGGAAAAACTAATATTTATTATAATTACCTGTGTGTTTATGGACCGTGATTCGGATACGTTCACGGAGTACTCATCCCTTTCGAAAACCGGAGGATTATCGTTCACATCCTGAACATCTACCAAGATGGTTAGATTTGTTGAAAGGCTTGGAACTCCCCCATCGGTGGCAGTTACAATGAGGGAGTGGCGTTGCGAGGTCTCGTAGTCCAAGTGTTGGGATAACACCAAATGGCCAGATCTCGCATCGATAGCGAATAGTCTTTTGCCAGAATCTCTGGCCAGGCTGTAGCTGACTTGACCACTGCTTCCCGAGTCTTTGTCGTGGGCATGGGCAGCGTAAAGTGGAGCTCCCAACTCGGCATTTTCCGGTACGGAGATCCGAACAACGCTGGCTTCGAATTCCGGAGCATTATCGTTGACATCCTCCACTTCGATGTTGACTTGGGTGTGTCCGTAAACGGGAGGCTCTCCCAAAGTGGCTTGGATATTCAGCAATACCTGGGCCTTCGCCTCATGATCCAAGGGCTTGGCAATGCGTATGTTTCCTGAGCTGGCTTCTATGGTGAAGTAGCCATCGGGATCGCCAGAGTATATCGAGTACCTCACTGGGCTGCGTTGGGCTGTAAAGTGAAAAGTACACAGTGTTATATTAGCCGTTGACTTATTGAAATAATTTTTTTTATATTAATTATCTATAATGCTTCTTTTGATTCCCTGGAATTTCCCTTGATATACCGAAAAGTTCAAGCGCGGAATTCAGGTTAGTGCTCCCAATGAATGGACGAGGAGTGCAATTATTTCCAACACATTCTTCTCCTTCGGCTGTGGAGTGGAGTTGAAGGAACTCCGAAATTCGAAATTAGGAGCCGCCGCTGCTCATTAAAAGCCATTCAAAGGCCTCAACAATGAGTTGCAGGAACAATAGAATCGGGCAGGAGAAGGAGCTCTCGTCACCGATTGACACATGAGGCAGGTAGAAGTGGACGGGGACGGAGATGGGGCAGCACATTCAAAGCACATGGGGCATGGAAGGAAGTGCACAGCGAAAGCAGCAAATTAAACCGCAAAATCATTTTGCATAGCCAGCGTTGATCGTGGATCGTTCACTGCGACTTGGACTTCGACTTTGTTACTGCGGTCTGTAGTCTGGAGTCTGGAGTCGGGAACTGGCATTGAAAACGAGCCCCTTGTATCATGCTCAGAGTTCAGCTCAACTCGATGACGAGGACGTCGTTGATGGGTGCAGATTTCTGCCGAAATTTGCGTTTGAAGTGTTTTGCTTTGCCTTTGTTGCTTCACTAAAAAGGCCCGAAATGGCTTTAACTCAAAATGGACGAGTTGTGAGAGTTTGGTGAAGCTTTTGTGCTCATTGAAAGAGTGTTTTCATTTTTAGACCATTTTTAAAGGCCCTCTGATTAATATTGCATAATAGCTAAATAAGTCTCTTAAGTAGCGTATGTAATAGTTGAATAGTTTATTTGCCAGTTTGAAGACAATGTTAGAGTATTAACAGAAGTTGCATTTTTTGTTGTATATTTCTCTTTTAGAAGTTTTATTTTTGTTCATCTCTCCTTCCATTCTATACATTCAGGCTCGTAGCCCGACTTTGCCCCGTGAGTCCGTAATATGCGCATATTTTGGTTTCCAGATCACTGAACTAATGAATGAGCTACCCAAAAATTATAGAATTTCAAGGATTACTTACCAGTGTCTCCGCTCGTAGCTATCACGGAGCCCACGACCGTGCCCCTCGGAATGTCCTCCTTCACATAGTAATTGTATCTGGCCTTCTCAAAGATTGGAGGTCGCTGCATGGCATCAATGATGCTCAGGAAGACCATGGCATCAGCACCGCTCCTTAGATTACCGCCATCGGTGGCCGAGATGTTCAGCATGTGCATAGGCTGTGTTCGAACGGATAGCATATCCGGACGGGCCACGAAGATCTCACCCGAGGATCGGTCGATTCGGAAGATTCCCGCCTCATTTCCGGCCACAATCCGGTACGAAACCTGGCCAAAGAGTCCAGAATCCGGATCTGTGGCTACAACGGCGACAATCGGGGTACTCGAGGCTATAGATGGGGCACTCGAGGATTCCCGTAGCGACACATTGTATTCCCTGGGATAGAAAACGGGACGGTTGTCATTCACATCCGTTAGCTGCATTTTGATCATGGCCGTGGTGCTTAGGCCCCCGCGGTCGGTGGCCAATACGGGAAATTCGTAGCTGCTCCTCCTTTCGAAGTCTAGTTCACCAGCAATGCAGATCTCTCCAGAGGCGGAGCGCACTTCGAACTCGGTGAGGTGCTTGAAGCCTTCGCCCAGGGTGTAGTTCACCATGGCATTAACTCCACAGTCCGGATCACTGGCAGAAACCTGAAAAATGGAATATAAAATTAAATTAGTACCCTGATTGAAAAAGAGATATTTTTTATATAAAAGCTGGTAATGATAGGCCTTTAGTTAAGTATTTTCAAGCCAAAGAAATTGGCAGCATAGTTCTGTCTTGGAGATTGCATATTCCAACAGGTACAAATGAAGTTGTCAAAATTTTAATTTGATTTACGGGCAGCGGCTGCCGTTGGTTTTTGGGCTTCCGTTCCGGGGCTTATCTCCGGACGCTGTTCAGGGCTTAATTTGGCAATTTGTTATGCTCGGGATCGAGTTGGAGGCCCTCCGCCCCCGAGACGTCGTATCAGGCGGCTGTCAACTTAAATTTGAGCCCAAGACCCGGGGTGAATCACTGGCAGAAAGGTTGCAGTTTGGCGGAAAATGGGAGCAATGACCCCGCTTAATGGCACCCAATTAGTTGGCATTTTGCGTAATCGACATTTGCATTTTGTTGGCTGTCTCTTCTGAGCCAAAGGAAACAAACTGGGAAAGGGGATAGAGCTGGCATGGCTGGAAGTTGTCTTATAAGTAGCCAACCAGCGGGTCAGGCATCGATTGCATTTTGACGCCAACGAACAAGCCAAGAAACTGGCAATTAAAACTGTCATTATTTCACTTTAAATGGGAGGCGCAGGAGGCCAAGGAGACCGCTTTGTTTCCCCCTTCTGGCCAAGTCTGAGGAGTTGTCACACTGTGATACCAAAATGACAGACTTCTATGAAAATTCCAACCTAATATGATTTGTTAAACAAAAGAGTTTGGTAATTATTTATTTATATATTCATTTCATTAAAAGTTTCGGCTTTTCTAGACCATTCTTATTTGTTAAACTCCAAGCTGTAAACCTTTTTTCTTTGTGTACTTGAAGCCCTTCCCCAGGCCGTCAGTTTAGAGTCCAGACTGATATGCATTTAAAGCGAATCGTGTCCGGGATCCCAGCACCCAGTTGCTGGGCTCCTCTCGTTGAATTTCAGTGCTAATTACACTTTTTGTAAGTCTGGAGTACCGGGTACTGGGTACTGGGTGCTGGGCAGTGGGACCTGAACTGAAACCAGGCGAAGATCTGCTTAGATTGTTGCTTCGACTAAAGACTTTCATTAAGCTTAGTTGGGTAGCAGCTTAAACCCGTTTAACCCGGCCGGTGAAATTGTCGCCAGGCGAATGGACGGGGGCAGTCCCAGTTCTGCGATGGGACATGGGATGGGACGTCGTCAGCCCAGAGATTGGCAATTTTATCTGTCAACAACATGGAAGTTCTGTGTGCAACTGTATTCGGAGCGCGGGATGCGAGGATCTGGAAGGGGAGGCGGCAAGGGTCCAGTGTTAAATAAATGCACGCCCACACGAATCGAAGAGGATTCAGGGATCGTGGGCTTGGAATAAGACAGGCAAAGGATCTGCACTTGGAGAAAATTCATATATATTACTTCTTCTTCCACTTTCAAGAACCTCCTCCTACTTTGCGTTATTTTCAGTGAGCCTTTGCTCTGATAAGCTGAATAGCGCCCATAAGGCAGCTGCCAACGGGTTGCGGTTATGTCAACACCAGAAACAGGCAGTAGTGAAAGGCAAATCAAATCGAAGGCAGTGAAGCCCCAAAGCCAAAGCCACAGCCAAGTGACATCTTTCAGGCAGCCAAAAATATAAAAAGGCAAACAGTTCAAGTTCGTTTCCAAATGTGAGGAGTGAGGAAGTCGAGAGTTATTCATCTTTGTCAGCACGCATTTCTCACACTTTCCTGCAGGTGGGGATGCTAAAAAGGGGCAGCAGCGGCGGCATTCAATGGCCAATTATGGCCTAACAAGGCCTCCAACTCCAGCTCCGAGTACGACTGGGACTGCGACTCTGACTCGAAAAGTCCGAGCTTCTGCTTTCGGCTGCTGTTGATGTATGCAAATAAGCTGTCAAAAGTAATTTCATTCAATTACCTTATTTAACGTACAAAAACCAAAACGGCCCGAGACAGAGCAAGGGAGATGGCGATAAAGTGAAAGAGAGAGGTGTCGGGGACGGGGAGTTGGCTCAAACCAAAGCAGTTAACAACAAAAGGATGAAGATGATTGCTGCAGAAGAACGTTCTTCAGCATCCATGCGGATGTTCGTGGTTGCAGTTTGATTAACAGCTCTGCACTGAGAGAAAATGGGTTCTTCATATATCTTTCAATATTAACTCCCTGGTTCGCCAAAGCCCTGCGCTAGGACCTTCTTCAATGTGGGCATTAGGTTTTCTCACAGTGGTAATGGCGAAGCTAAGGCAACAGAGTTAAGTCACACCACAGTTCTGGCTAATAGAAGTTGGCCAAATGTCGGTCGTGTCTCTGGTGCGGATTATCACCGAAACGAGTGGAGTGAGTGGCAAAGACTCAAGCTCGAAGTCTCTGAATCCGAGGCCAGCGAACAGTTTTGATAAGACATCCCCGGAGCAGGAACCTCTGAGGCTGTGGAACTCTGGGCCTCTCAGACAGGGACTCACTTCGCGAATCGCAGCGTGCGGCAGCTTGCATATTTCTTATGCAATTTCCGGCAGATGTGGATGATTTAGCTGGCCCCGCCGCAACGGCCAATACGAAATGTGGCTGATGAGAAATGGCTACGTGCTCACAAGTGTCGGGTCGGACTTTATTTTTCTTAGGCGACTTAGTTTGAGTACTTTTCGGCGGCCCCTCTTAACACACGACTCAATCGTCGTCAATCCACTGCCATCTCCAGTGCCAAGTCGCTGTGAAATCCAATATTGGGGTGAAGAAAGTGTTGGCCATGTGGGTGTCGTCGCCGAGGTTTCAATGTTCCATTCCATCTTTGGCTTAAGCAGAAAGCGTGAAATGTCTGCGGTCTTCAAGCAGATTACTCACCACACACTGAGATAAAAATGAGACTTTTGCCGCCTGACTTACACATACTTCTGTTACAGTGTACCTTCCCTACTCCTCTGCGGTTTTATCCACAGGTGATTGACCAGCAATCGAATTAGTTATAAAGACATTTAGACCGCTGAGGGCCCGGTAATAAAGTCTCCTCTGCGCACCTGGAGAATCCTCTGCGGCGTGTGAAGATTTCACACTTTTGCCTTGATTAGTCACGGGCTTCGCACCTCCCCGAACTCCCCGAGCTTTTCGCGGGTCTCCAACATGGCAGCTGATTTATGTTGACGCCTTATCAGGGCCCCTCAATATTTATTGCAATTTTTATAAATTATTTTTCGCTCTCCTAAAAGATGCGCGCTTGCGCTCGAAGAGCTGAAGATTTATATGTGAGCAGATGTGATGGGGCCGCACCACCGGGAAAGTGGTGCAGCGAAGGGGCGCAGGGCGTGGCGGTGGCGCAGCGAAAGGTGGGAACGATCTATTTCTGTTTACTTTTCTGTGGCTGAGGCTGTCTTTCCCCTGTTCTTGCGGCTCTCTCTCTCTGTTGTCGCTGTGCATCGTCAAACACCAAAAAGCAATTCTAACAGTTGTTGCACCGCTGCAGCACCACTGCACCACCACTGCACCACCGCTGTGCCGCTTGTCGTGTTATTAGGAATTTTTAATTTTCCGGTATAGATTTCTGACTTGTTCTCCGCTGCGTTCTCTACGCTGTAATGTTTTTCCAACACAGAGAGAAATCAGTATTGAGATCTACTCTGTAATAATATTTAAACTCAATTTTGGATTAAGGTAAGAGCTTAATGATATGTTCAAACTTAAATTTTAATAGTTTTCTGTTAACAGAAAAGATGGTAGTTAACGTTTTTTCCAAGTGTGATCCTTCTTTTCGTGGTTTTCTGCCAGAACTGTGCTCCACCTTGTCTCTGAGTGGTGCAGTGGTGCTGGGGCATCATCAAAATGCATCTAACAAGGTTGTTAGGTGTTAAATAAGTGTGCTTAAAAATTTATCTTGTACATTTCTTCCTTCATTTGATTTATGTTTGCTGGCACTTGGCTGCAGCTGTCTTCTTAGCCGAAGCCCATTACCCCGAGCCACGCCCCCCTTACGGTTACGTTTACGGTTCAACCTTTGAGTCGAAGTCGGACTCGGGCTCAACTTTTGCTTTCGCCGCTGCGAGAAAACAGCGTCTATTGATAAATCAATATACCAATAGATGCGTGGTGCAGAGTGCAGGGTGGTGCAGAAGTGGGGGAGATTTACATTTACCCGCTGGCCATGGACTTGACTGCAGATCTGCGAGGCTGCGTCTGCAAATGGCCAAAAACATGCGAACACAACACAACTGGTCAGGGAAAAGGAGAAAAATGTTTAGGAAAAGACTGGCGAGTGGGGGACTGAATGCGTTTCTTGTGTTTCAAATGCCTCTCCGATTTTCCTGCCGCAGCTGCATTTAGCTGGCTGCAGCACCACCCGCCTGGGTCTCCTTCGCTGCCCCTCTCGAAATTCCCATCCTCCGATCTGAACTCTGAATCCAACTATGACTGCGATGATCGATCGTTGCACAAGTCCACTAACGTTGTTCGCTGGAATGTGCGTCGCTTGCCGGCTGAGGCTGAACTTGAGTCAAAATCAGTTCCTCTTTGCTTGCCAGAAACAAACTTCAGTGTTCCTTGTGATACAATATAATGTTAAAATATAATCAATATATTTCAAAATCTCTTTAATTTCTTGAATAAGAAGTTAATTTATGAATGCATTTCCTAAACCCTCGCGAGGTCCTTTATTCTGCCTCCGCTTAGTGCTCATTCCCTCAGTAATCGGAGGCGCTAGTCAATGCCTTCCTCATTAAACTGCAGTTCCTTCGGCGGTAGATGCAGTTGCAGCTAATTAAGTTGGATGCACGCTCCAAAGATTCTGGCCTCTCAGCGTTAATGAGTTGCCCTTTCCCTGTGACCCCCCACTCTCCAGATGCGACTTCACCCACACAGGGAATGAAATCAAGAGCGACAGGAAGTCATGCGCATGTCAACAGGCAACTACTGGCTCTGGGAGGAGCCCAAGAAATGCCGTCCAGTCCGGGCAATAAAACATTCTAATTGGCGCCGCTTGAATGGAGG